TTGTCCATATCATTTCTTTATATGTTTAGTAGAGATGGGGTCTCGCTCTTGCTCAGGCTGGTCTCGAACTCCTGACCTTGAGCGATCCTCCCACCTCGGCCTCCCAGAGTGCTAGGATTACAGATGTGAGCCACCGTGCCCAGCCTTTACCAAACATATTATCAGTACGTGTTTGCTGTGTTTATACATCTTTCTGGGTATGTGGGCTCATCTGATTAGAGTTCTAACAGTGCCCAGGTCGAGACTGTCCTTCCTGTACACCTTTCCCCTGCGAAGAGGCCACGCCCGTGTGCTTGTCAGAGGCGGCCTGGAGCTGCGTGCAGGCCTGCCTGTGTGTTACGTGGTGCTCTTTCTTCCAGGTACCCTGCTGACTGCTCACTCCCCAACTCCTGTTGCCCCCCACCCTGTCACTGTGCCCACCTACCGGGCCCCAGGAACACCCACCTACAGCTATGTGCCCCCTCAGTGGTGATCACCCTGCAAATGTAAGTGACCAGTGAAGGCTAGCTTGGCCTTTGAGGAAAGGGCATTTCCTGGTGGAGTCTAGCAGACTTACCATATGTTCCAGCACTAATCAGAAAAATGCACCTGACCCTTTATATAAGGGCAGGACAGTATTTAATTTTTTTTTCTTATTGGGACTCTACAAAGTAGAATAAAGAAGAAAACTGCTGGGTATTTACTGTTTACGCTGTCCGTCTTGATCCTGTCCTGGATCGTGCGCTCATCTCCCGCCTGCCTGCTGCGGGAAACAGGGTTGCAGTTGTAACTGGGGGTTGCTGGGAGCAGGGTGGGAAGCAGGTCTAGCAGCCTTGCCTGTCGCTGTCCTTTCTGGCCCTAGTGGACCTCGTTCCCCTTGAGTTTCGGGAGCAGTGGTGCTAGAGGACTTGTGTGTGACTTGGTGTCTGTCCGTCTCCCTGCAGGTTTGAGGACGGAGCTGTGCAGTCACATCCTTGAGGTTCCACAGCTGGTGCTGCAGGCCTTGTGCCTCCAACCAGGACTTTCTTCTTAATGCTCTCGACACTCGGCTAAACACGACTACGTCCCGGCCCAGCAGGTCCCAGCGCCGTTAGTCTCCATCTAATTCTGTGGGTTGGTCTTAAAGCAAATCCTGTTTTGTGGACTGCCTGGCAATTTTTTAGCTAACTGTAATGATGAAAAGGGAGTATTAATCTATTCTGAATCATATCTAGTTGAATGCATGTTTAAAAAAAACAAACACAAAAACAAAGCTTGCTCAATCTACCTGCAGTGACTGATGCAAAACCATCATATGCAAAATCCAAAGGAATGGAAATGTATTTTACAACTTGTATCACTAATGCACTGTTGTAATGTATGCAAAGTCTTCAAGTTATAAGTGTTAAAGTGAATTTCTTCCTAGAACATTTGCAATATCTTAGATGATTCTTCAGCCTTTTGGGGTTGATGTGCGTTGCCAATTAGGGATATGGACTTTTGGTTTTCAGCGACCTATTTCTTTGGCACTGACTGTGCTGGGAGGGAGTTGCCGGCATCGGGGAGAGCAGGGAGGCCGCGGCTGCTGGGGCGCCCCTTTCTTTCCGCTTAGGCTTGGGTCAGTGCGTGGGGGTGTGCTTAAAGATCATCATGAAAGTTAGAGTTGTGTGGCCAGTACAATTAGAGGGGAGGGGGTGGTTTATGTATCAGCAAAGCGATTTTCTCTGCTATCTAAATTTTCATTACAAGTCTCTTACAGAGAGAGGTGTTGTTTTATAAATCTCTATTGGAAAAGTCCTGCGTAGAACTAAATTGTTTTCCTGGGATGGAAAATATGTGAAAGAGAAACAGCCATGCTTGGAGGAGGTATTGTCCTCTTCATTTAGCTTAGAAAATCATTCCATTTTTTTTTTTCTGAGAAATGTGTCAGCTGAAAACACATAGGCATCGCTGTTTGTCCCCCTACAAAGAAGGGCAAAGATTTCAGCTGTACGTTGTGAAAAAAGGTGTATATTTAAGAATGGTTAAAAGGGAACAAACCTTTATTTAAAATTCATCATGTTTCTCGTAGAGAGGCAGGGCCGTGGATATCTCTGAAAATGTAGAACCTGGTAGCTTCTCCTGGAATCATCCACCCGGTGGTCCTTGTCCTCCAAGACTGGCTGGAGGGGCCTCTAAGAGAGGGCGAGGGCTGGAGGGCTGGTGTCTCGTCTGGGAGCCTCTTCCGCCACCTCCTGCAGTTGGAGGCACTGAGTGCCAGGCAAGCAGGGACAGCAGAAGGGCCAGGCAGTGTGGCATTTGCCTGCCAGGATTTATCATGGAAAGGATTTTGAGTTTAAAATCTGAATCTTGTACATAAGAAATCAAGAGGATTTTTTTGCTAAATATGCCTGACTCGGGTCCATGGGAATGTGTGTCTGTCTGTGAGGGTCAGGCGGGCTGGGGGGTCAGAACTTGCTCCCTTTCAGCGTCTGGCAGGGTGTGCACCTGTCGCCACGCTGTGGTGTGAGTGCTGTGGGCTCTGGTCAGGGCCGGGCTTCTGCTCTTCGGTCTCTGGCAGCTGGGTCAGGGCTCGGGCGCTGGTGTGGAGGCCGCACATTGGTGTCTTGTCCTGGCTGTTGGGTGGGACACCTGACCACTGAGCCTTTGGTAACCTTATTTTTATAGTAAGTACTCTTCATAATTTTCTTTTTCACCTCTTATTTTATGAGAAGTTTAGGCATATTTTTGCATGGATCATTGTAAACAGAAGATTCCTTATTCCTGATGTCTAGTAACATAGAATGTTTACTGATAAGTACTTTAAGTTGCTTCAGGAGCACTTAGCCCATCTTTGTATGTGTGTGTGTGTGTGTGTGTGTGTGTGCACGTGTGTGTGGTGTGTGTAGCAGACGTTCACTGCAGGCACACGGTCTGTGTCCGTTTCACGTCTGTGTTGGTCATGTCATCTGAATAGCGGGTGGCTTGCAGCAGCACCGTAGCAGTAGGTTCTGAGGTTCCAGGGGCTCAGCTGGCTGAGGAAGAGAAGTCATTTTTCCCAGTAGAGCACTAGGAAATGGGAGAGGTACTCATGCTGGTTAGTGTGTGCTTGACAAAAGCCCCACGCCACGGAAAGGGAAACACGCACGCACCTGCCTGTAAGGGCGGAGACATTCGTGTTTAGGAAGTTATTTAGGTGTCTCTGCGGGGTTGCTGGAGAGTTGGCACACATGGGGCGGGGGGGGGGAGGTTCAAGAGAAAGAGAAGAGAGTACCGCGACCCCCATTTACTTCAGCTTCATAAATACTTTTCTTCCTCCCCATAATTTTTTTTAACCTTTTTTCCCTTTTGTGAAGCTGAGTTGAGAGACTTTATGAAATAACGTTTGCATTGTACAATAAATCTGTGCAGAAATCTTTCCAATTTTGAAACTATCAGGGCATCACCTATCAAATATCTTATCAGGTAGGAATTTCGACCTATGAATAGTAACAAAACTATCATAGGTTGTAATTTTATCACCATTTGGTTCTAGTGAAATTAACTAAGGAGTAGAACTTGGGTCAGAATTCTGTTACAAAGCTTTATAACTTGGTACCCCAAGCACATTGTGGAACATTCTGAGAAATTCTACTATTTGTGTGTGTGTGACATTCCCAATTTGAGTCCTTCAGCTGAATTATCATTCTTTAGAAGTTGAGACAGGCAAGCAAAGGACCTCACTCCTATAACATGGACATCATTATGGCCTTTTTTTTTTTTGGAGATAGAGTCTCACTCTGTTGCCCAGGCTAGAGTGCAGTGGCATCATCGTAGCTCACAGCAGCCTCAACCTCCTGGGCTCAAGCGATCCTCCTGCCTCAGCCTCCCAGTAGCTGGGACTACAGGAGTGCACCATCACGCCCGGCTCATTTTTCTATTTTTAGTAGAAACGGGACTTTGCTCTTGCTCACACTGGTTTTGAACTCCTGAGCTCAAGCGATTCTCCATCCTCGGCCTCCCAGAGTGCTAGGATTACAGGCGTGAGCCACCTCACCCAGCCCATTATGGATATTTAAAAAATTTTTTTTTGTACACCTTCCCTGAGGCTTGGGAGTGTGTTCCAGCAGCTGTATAGCTGTTGCTGTTTCTCCGCTCATAGAAGTATTGTCTGGATCTGGGCTAGGGGGCTGAGTGTTTAGTGTCCAGCAACTGGGCCTGTGAGCTCACTGCCTCTGAGAAGTGAGGCCACCCTCGGGTCAAGGGCAACCATGGTAACAGGCACGGAGGTGCTGCTAGAACCTTTTATGTCTCTTGTGAGCTATTTTATAAGAACATTCTTGTGGTGGTGGTTAGTAGGCCTACCAGTGCTGTTCTGGGCAACAGTTTGTTGAGTGCTCTGTAAGTGTAGCATTTACGGGATATGAGGGAGGTCCTGAGCCTTGAGCTTGGCTCCTGGCTAGTGAGCGTCCTGCCCTTCCCCAGCCGGGCACACAGTGCCTTGCTCCATCTGCTGGCATCATCTGGCTGTGGTGAATGAGGTCAAGGAAGTAATTTGCATGTGTCTTTTGGGGGACTTGTCAATAAAGAGAGGAAATGCATTCTTCAGGCAATCTGGAATGTGTAATATTTGGGAGTGTTGTCCCCACATAGGATATATGAGTGTCCCAGTGGGTAGTGGTGAGGGGCTGGCACACACCAAGTGTGTAAATATTGGGGTCTGCTTTAAAAAGGAGCTCCAGACTTCACCTGTCCTTTTTCAACATTTGAAAACAGTATTACTCTGACCAGTTCGGCCACCTTCACCTCACCTGGCAGCCGACAGTTGGATGGCCTGGTTGTTGCCAGTCTGGGCGCTGCCCAGACTGGACAAGATCTCCAGTGGGTGCAGTGGCAGGTGGCAGGGTGTGGCCTGAGGTGGGCGGCAGCAGCTGGTCCTTCTCTCTGGTGCTTTCTGAGGGGTCTCTAAAGAGGAGTGTGGGTGGTTCAGGGAGGGCAGAGAGTTTGCTCTTCTCTAGCACGTTCCACATGTTTGTTTTTTCTCTAAGCTGCTTATTCCTCAGCCTGAGCTTTCTGAGGGTAAGTGACACACGGAGGGATGTGTGTGGTCGTTTTGGATAGAAAACTGCAAAGCTGATTTTGTGTGTGTTCCAGATGGTGTGTCTCTTTTCCATACTCCGCATTCATTCGAACAACAGAGACCTGAGGGGGATAACCTTATTTTAGTCCACAGGACTAAATAAAGTTGACTTTTGGGGACCGGGAGACTGGGGAGTAGCATCTCTGTCCAGAGAACCCTGGTGGCCTTCAGGAGGGGCGACGTGCTCCCAGGACTGGTGTTCCAGCGTCTCCTCGGTGTGGGGCTGTGCCCATGGGCTGTCACGCAGACGGGGCAGTAGAATAGGCCAGTTGGGCCAGATCTGAGATCACCTCTTTTGTGCTACTGGCAGAGTTGCTGTGACGGCCACTCGGAGAGGCCCCAGAGAGCCTCATGTTGTGATTGAATAGGAAGTGATTCCTTTTTTTTTTTAAAATGATTTTTAAATACTGTTTTTTACACTGTTCTCTTGGTACTTTTTTTAAGCTAAGTCAGCATTGTCTTCCAGTGTTAATGGCATCCCTTACCTCCGCCCTGAACTCGAGTGTCAATACCAAGGAATGGAACATCCATCCTGAGCCAGTTCAATTAGGTGTAAATTCATACTATTTTAATTTTTTATGCAATCTGATGAGTAGATGAGCTCAGACTTAAAATTCTCAAAGCACGTTTATTGTAACAAAGAATCGTTATGTATGAATACTGCAGTTTTCAATAAAGATTGACTTGTGTTGCATGTCCTGGTTTTCATGATTTCTCCATGCTGCTCTAGAGGTAGCTTGGTCTGATTGGGAGGGGCTGTTAGGAGATTGTTTGGAGATTTGGGAAGAAGGCCATTGTGGCCTTTAGCCCCAATGACCTCCGCAGTGCTGAAGCATGGTGGAGGCAGTGGGCTGGGGGGACTCTTTCCCACAGGCGGGGCAGGGAGGGAGCAGCCTCCTGCTCCTCCTCTGGCTTCTGTAGCCAGGGTCCTCCTGGGAAGACACATTCTTCCTCATTTCACTGAGGGGGATGCTGACGCCCAGAGATTACGGATCTGTCCGCAAACTCACATGGGCCACAGCCCGGGAGGAGTGGGAGGGAGCTTCCGGGCCCTGGGTGTGGGGAGGACAGAGGCAACTGTATCCCCCCTACATGGGCCCTGGCCCTGCTCTCCTCCTCTGCTGAGCCCCCACCCACCTCTGGAGGCTGCTGGGCTCATTCCTCTTGCGGGAGAGGCCTAGGGCAGCGACAGGTAAGGGGCGTGTAGAAGAGGAAACGCACACAACACCAACAGAAAACTGGCTGGCAGTCGGGTTACTTTTCATAAGTTTCTTTATGAAATTAAATGTGGCTTCTGGCTTGGAGAAGGTATAGTGCAAGAGCGACTGTCCATGCTGCTGAGTCCCGTGGCCTCTGCCCTGACACACTGGGCGGGTGCCCCTTGGCGGAGGGGGTACTCTCCGTGTGCCCACCACCTGGGGGACTGGCCAGTCCTGGATGCTGGGCCACAGAATTCAGTCCTTATGGCTTCTCACGCTCACTAGGGTAAGGCAATCTTTCTGTGTCACTAACAAGAATCAGTTATTTTTCTCCATTGTTAGAAAAACCAGACGACAAAATCCAAACAAGAAAAACAAGAACCAGGTGGCTGAGGAGGCACCCCACAGCTACAGGTGGGCCAGTACACACCCGACCGTACGCACGGCTGACTCTACGGGCTTGCTCTTTCCACTACAGACACACATCACAAGTGAAGAGGGTGTCCAGCGGCCAGCAGTGTCTAGAGAGGGGCCGGAAGACAGAAGGGTGGGCTCTGGGCCAAACATTGGGGCACAGAATTCCTGGTTTCCACCTTCCGAGCTCACAAACTGTCTGGAGCCACCGGCTGTGCTGGAGCTGGGGCCCAAAAGGAGAACTGGAGGTTAGAGGGGCCGCCACAGGGCAAAGAGTCAGTCACTCCTGCCCGGAGAAGATGGGAGAAGGGAAGATGAGCTTTCCAAAGAGCGTCCATAGTAGTCAGCCCAGTCGCTGGCTCTGAGCTGTGGTTCCCAGGCGCAGGGGTAGCGGGGGCCCTGCGCAGGTCCGGAGAGCTGGAGGGGGCTGCACGTGCGGGGCCCTGGCTCTCCTAGCTGGCCTCTTCACTGTTCCAGGAGCAGTGAAAAAACCAAGAATGGAAGCACAGACCTGGCAGGCTGTGTGTCCTGCCGGCATGAGCAGCAACTCCCTTGCTCAGCCCTGATTGTTTCCAGGTTGCAGAACAGGCAGACAAGGGCCAGATGGAGTGTGCCTCTGGGAGGAAAAGCTGGGGACCGCTGGCGGGCAGGGCCACCAAGAGGTGTAGGTGGGCTGCTGGCTCACTTGCGGAAGGGTGCCAGCCGGCTGATGCTGTGCCAGAAGGTGGACGGCTTCCTCCTGGGCTCTGCCAGCACCAAGACCTGTGGCTGGGGCCGGCTGCTGGGCAGTGCCGGGTGCTTCTGGCGCGTCAGATAGCAGGGCCGGCCAACAGCTGGGCAGGGAGACAGCAGGGGTCACGGGTGCCCAGGGCAGAGCAGCAGCCCCTGCTGTAGGGGGAGCACGGGGCGGTCCCAGGGCTCTGCCTCAGACCAGCCAGGGGAGGCAGCTTAGCCACATGGGACTTGGCCCCCGAGGGCTGCCTGAAGCCTCTGGCCTGGGCCTGGCCAGAAGAGGGGAATGCCCTGGGCCTGTGCGAGGGACGGATGTGTCAGGGCCTTGGCTCCATCCATAGAAATGGAGAGATTAGCTCCTTCCCTCCTAGGCAGCTGTGAGGGCGTAGCCACGGGAGGCAAGAACTGTCACTGTTGCTGCCCTCTCTGGTGGGGGGCCAGGGCTTGAGAGCAAAAACATCAACAGTATCACCACCCAGTGCCCCTTACCACCAGCCTTCAGGAGCAAAACCTGCAAAGGGCAGTGGCACCTCTGAGGACCCAGGTGGCTGTAGTGCTGGCTTCGCTTTGGGGTCAGGGGAATGTGATCAAGGCAGGGGCAGGCGGCTGAGGGGCTGTGACTACTGTCCACTTACCCTTGGGCTTCCCGGTGGCCTGCTGCTTGCTGGCGTTCAGCATGGCCTGCTTCCTCTGCAGCTCGGTGATGGAGAAGCCTGGGGGCGGGGGACACAAATGACACCCTGCCCACATTTCTCCTCAGGCTCGTGCTGTGCTCCCTGGCCCCAGGCGCGGTCCTCTCTGCACACCTGCACCTCCCACAGTGCCTGGGGTCCCATCACACCTCAGGGACTCGGTCCTGGCCCCAGCAGGGACCGTCCCCCATCCTGTGCAATCAGCCTGCCTTGGCCAAGCAGGGCAGAGGGGTGCCCCATGTGGTGGCCCTGGCAGAGAACGAGATCCCGGAGCCCTCCCTGTGCCCGCCCGTCTCACCTGGCCCTGATGCCCCACCCCCACCTGCCCAGTGTCCAGCGTCCTTTCTCTCCACTGTGGTGGAGGCTCTTTCCCAGACCAAGAGCCAACCTGGTCACTGCCAAGGATAACGCCTGGGGACTGTCAACAGGAGGGGGATGCAGCAGGGAGATGCCTGCTCACGTGGGGCAGGGAGGCTTCTGAAGCCACTACCCACCTCGCACTCCAGTGCTCTCGGGGCTTATGCTTGCCAGAAAGGGCCCCCAGGTCCCAACAACCGGGGCCCTGAGCAGAGGGCCCCTGCCCTGTGGAGCGTGCACGTGTCCCACATGCAGGGAAGCATCCTCCACCTGGAGCCAGCAGACCCATCCCCTGGGCACTGAACGCTGAGCAGACCCCTTCGTGGGACACAGCGATCCTGCCAGTGGGGTGACGAAGGCAGTGCCTTGTGATCACAACTGGGACAAAGAGGTGCCTTAAGCCTTGCCAAATGCCGTCTCAGTTTTGAGGCTGTCCTGACCTGACCATCTGGCAGCCAGGTGGGGCAGGAGGGCTGGGTGGGCCAGGGGGCGGGGCAGGGCCCAGCAGGGTCTCATACCTGTCTCCTGGTCCAGCCGCACCTGCTCCCTCTCCCTGGCAAAGGCCTTGAGCCAGCGCTGCTTCTGCTCCGGCTTCCTGGTGCACAGCAGGTGGCTGTCCCCTGTGGTGCCACAGTGCAGCCTGAAGGCGTTCTTCACGGTCACGTGGAGGTCTCTGTCCTTCCCATCCTCCAGGTCTACTACCTCCAGGCCGTCCATGTCTAGCCGGCCCTTGTAGTACAGCACGTCCCGGCGGAGCAGGTCCTGCCAGACACCCCTCTGAGCCCTGGACCCCGAACCGTCCACCTGACGCTGTCCAGACCCGCCCCTGACCCCTCTGCCAGGCCACAGGAGGGGTTGGTGGCCATGCACCCACCTCCCCAGCAGACGGTGAGCTCCCGAGAGGGGAGCAGGCCTGTTGCCGCCCAGGACTGCTGAGCCGTGCGGGGAGGACCCTTGCTCCTTCAGTCATAGCTACTGACTAGCCCTGGTCGGCCCTGTCTCTCAGGCGTGCACACTCTGGTGGGGAGACAGCCACGGAAACTAAGGCAGTGGCCCACACTGCCTTACAGCACGTACGAGCACCAGTGGGCAAGGAGGGCTTTGTGGATGTGGGGCCACTGGGCCACATTTTCGAACAGGAGCGGAAGCTGACAGGGCAGAAGAGGCAAGGAGGCAGCTGAAGGAGGGACCCCAGGGTTGGGAAGGGGATGCAGAGATGTGCAGGGAAATGGGAGGTGCTGGAGGAGCGAGGGGCCAGGTCAGCAAGGGGGGTCATCTTGACAGCACGGGCCCCGGTCAGACTGCGAGAGCTGCCCGTGGGCCCTAGACTGCCAGGCTCACCTGCAGAGAGCCACTCGCATCCCAGCCCACAGCCTGGCCAGGGCTCCTGTGTGTGTCTGGCAAACACCTGTGCTCTGGGCAGCCGCTCCCAGCCCTTGGCTTCACGCCTACCTGCTTTACCTGGGCCCCTCCAGCTGGCAGAACAACTGTTACCTTCTTACAGTAGATAAGCTGGTGGTCAAAGAGAAAGAACATTCTCTGCTGGCTCTTAGCTTGAGGCTGTGTAACTCGAGTCAGCTCCCCCGAGTAGATGAGTTCCGAGCTCCTGACCAAGAGATCTTCCCCCTGGGGAGACCCAAGGAGAACCCTGAGCTGGGTGCACCGAGCCTCAGGCACCACTTCCTGCCTCTGCGCGGTCGGAGGGCTACTTCTGAAGCCCCGGAAGTCCTCTGAGTCCTGAGGGCGGGGCCGGTGGGGCGGGGCAGGTCTGCCCTGTGAGTTGCTATCCTTGGACCCCACCGCAGCCATCAGCTTCACGTGGCTCCTGAGTACTGGAAATGTGGCCAATCCAGATTGAGATGTGGTATCAGTGAAGACTTAGTATGAAATAATGAAACTATTTCATTAATGATACTTTATGTTGATTACAAGTTGAAATGATATTTTAAACATTGAGTTAAAATATTAGAATTAGTTCCACCTATTTTTTTTTTTTCTTTAAGATGGCTACTAGAAAGTATCAGATTCGGTATGTGGCTCACATATTCTGACTGGCTAGTGCTGCCCTGGAGAAAAATTAAGGCTGGCTGCAGTTCACCTCTGAGGCCAGTCTTGTGTTCTAAGGAGGCCCTCTTCCCAGCAAACCGTGGCAGTACCCGAAGATCCGTCATGGACCATCTGGCCTTCAAAGTTTTAGACTAAGCCCTGCCCCTCTGGTTCCTCCTTGAAAATGCAAACCACAGGCAGGAGTTGTGGACAGCGATGGGTTTGGGGTGAGTGAGTCTGCAGAAGTCCTCGGCCCACGTTGCTCAGCCCCAACCCCGGGATTCTCAGTTATGTTGAGGTGAGGCTCAGGCCCTGTCTTTTTTTTTTTTTTTTTTTTTGAGACAGAGTCTTACTATGTTGCCCGGGCTAGAGTGCGGTGGCGTCATCCTAGCTCATTCTTTCTATTGTTAGTAGACACGGGGTCTCGCTCTTGCTCAGGCTGGTTTCGAACTCCTGAACTCAAACAATCCGCCCGCCTCGCCTCCCAGAGAGCTAGGATTACAGGCGTGAGCCACCGCGCCCGGCCTGTCTTTTTACAACGTTCTATAGTGATTCTGGTTGATTTTCAGGTCGTTTCTCTTCCAGACAGCTGGTAGAGCGCCTGGCAGGCAGCACCAGCACCCGTGTGGGTGGGGAGCCCTCGGGAGCAGTGCTCCAGGAGGAGGCAGATTGGCGGGGTGTGGAGGGGGACAGGAACATGGTAGTTCTAAGGCATCAGAAGGCAAGACTGGCAGGTACAAGGGGAACGTGCAAGCCAGAGAAACAGAACCAGGAGGTCACGCTGTGTGTCAGCCCTACACCCTCTGCTAGGAATCCCAGAAGTGAACTCAAACTCAGGCATCCGACCTGTCTCCTGAAGGCAGAGGAGCAGCACTACTGCGGGGGCTTCTCCTGGGCAGGCTGCTCGGGAGGGGAAAATGGTATGTCACACAGGAAAGAGGCCATCAGGCACCAAAGCCAGCTCTGGGAGGCAGCCCCGAGGGCCTGGCACCTGCACTAAGGGACTGCTTTCCCACACCGGCACGTGTTTGCTAGCCCCAGGAGCACGGCTCCCTGCTTCAGTCCTCCCTAGAGTTTTCAGGGGCAAGTGTGATTTTAAAGCAAGAGGCCAAGACCTTATGGTATTTTCTGGGCCCCCAGGCCCTCACCTCCCAGTCCTCAATGGAGCTCTGCCACTGAGCAATCTTGTCAATGTTTTCAAGTCTCCGTTTCCGTTCATTGATGAGCTGGGCCACGTTCTTCATGGCATGCAAAGCAGCTTCGACATCCTTGAAGTCCCTGGGGCAGAACAGAGATGGAGGGCTGCTGCCAGCAGGAGATGGGGGTGTGGGGCATCCTGCAGCCCCCATGTGTGGAGCTGCTCTTCTCTGGGGCCGTGCCCCTTGGCCACATCCTCACCCCACAAATGCACAGCCCCTGTCTGTGCCACAAATGCCAGGCACAGAGCACAGCTTATAGCCTGCTGATGGTCTCTCCCTCACTGCAAGGAGAGCTCGTGAGAGCAGGGCTGTTTTTCTGTGTTGCCCCAGTGCCTACAGCAGTGCCCTACACACTGCAAGTGCCCAACAAACCGGCTGATGGGAGGTGTGCAGAGCCTCGGGCCACCTCCCTGCCTCGGCGCCCTCCTACCTGTGCTGGGGGTGTGTGTACTTGAGCAGCTCGGCCAGCTGCAGAGGGTACTTGCAGATCTTCTGCACCGGGGTCAGCAGGAAGCCATCCAAGGAGATGTCGATCATCTTCTGCAGCAGCCGGCAGGCCTCAAAGAAGTACACATACTTGCTGAGCTTGGCCAGCCGGGAGAGCTCCACGCAGGCGTTGGGGTGGTTGTTGCAGTACTCGGAGTAGATCTGGAAGTCTGCTTGCTGGGGAACAGCTGGAGGTTAGGATGGCATCTTCTGCCTGCCCAGGCAACCCAGCCACATGTCTGGGAAGGGCAAAAGGCTCTGCGCTTCCTTCAGGAGCCGTGCTCAGGGGGAGCCAGCTGTCTACCTACTTCACAGGGCACAGCACATGGAGTCATGCCCAGCAAGGGTAAAGACCCCTGGGAACATGAGTGTGTGCCTGCCCCAGCCACGTTCCGGCTTTCCGGCTTTCGCTGCAAGGCCCCCAGCAGATATGCTGGTGTCACCAATGATGTCAGTAAGGAAGGGCTGTCAAGGCCAAAAGCGGGGCTATGTCGGGGAGACGGATATCCTTCGCACGACCCCACGTGACTGCTCCAGGAGAGGGATAAAACGAGTCCCTTCCTTATCAAGTGAGGCCTGAAGGAGTTCCATCTGGACCGGACCAATCCAATAGACCTTGGCTAAGTGCAAACTGGCATTTAGAGTGGACACAAGCTATAAATCCCACGTAAATTCCAATTTGCTCTCTGCTTGAGCAACCCCAGAATCTGCTATGACCAGCCCTGGGGCGCTCAACAGGTGGCCCGGCCCGCCTTTGCCCTCCTCTCTGGCCAATGCAAATCCTTCTGCAGCCAAGCCTCACGCCCCTGCCCGCGGGAACCCTCCCTGACTGGACAGCCCCCGTCAGAAGCAGACACACTCCTAAAACCGTGAAGTTTGGGCCGCTGGGCAAGTAGAGGGCTGGAGCCCAGCGCACCCAGAGTGTGGAAGTTTCTGGGAACAGAGCGGCCCGCGAGGCAGCCTCCCAGGGGAGGGGGCGGGAGCCAGGTGCACAGGGAGGGCACAGGTGGGCGCTCACGTGCTCCAGGAAGCAGGCGCCCAGCTCGCTCAGGTGCGGGCGCTCGCGGTTGAACTTCTGCTCCAGGGCCTTCACGAACGCCTTCTGGCACCGGTAGATGTCCTCGATGTTCCCGAAGATGGTGCGCAGCTGCTCCTCGCTGAACATGTCCGCGCGCTTGCGGCACTGCCGGAGGTAGCCCTGGGGGCGGGGCGCGGTCAGCCTCCCCCCTCCCCCGCCCCGCCCGCCCGGCGGCCGGTCCTCACCTCGCAGATGTCCCGCAGGTGCTTGATATAGTCCCGCTCGGTGCTGAGGATCTCATTGATGACGTTGGTGCGCATCTGGTCCTTGCTGCTCTGCGCCTCTGTCCCGCTGTCCCTGGCCTCGCCGTCCCCGGGCCGCGGGGCTTCGTCGTCCCCCGGCTCGTCCTGGTTCACCCGCAGCTGCGGGCAACGCGCGGCCGGTCAGTGCCCCGCGCCCCTCGGGGCCGGAAAGCGAGTCTCAGAGGACCCGCGGGATGCACGGGGCGGCGGGCCGGCCGCAGGCTCCCCCCACGTCGCTTGGACAGACGACCGCGGCGCTGCCAGTGTCACCGGAAACCATCCGGCCCGCTCCAAAGGCCCCGCGCTCCGCGTCCCCAGACTCGGCCAGTGCTGGTACAGAACCAGTGCCTGCCCATACCGGGCCCCACCTGGACCCTGGGGAAGGGCTTGGGGCACAGAATGCAGGTTACCCATGGGGTCTGGGGCAGGAGAAGCACCTGTACGCCAGGCCTGGGCCCCCTCTTTTGGCGACTGCACCTGGATTTCTTCTTTGGAGACCAGAGGCCGCCTTAGGTGGGATCTGCGTGCCCTCCCTGTGATCTCTAGGGCTAATGACTTAACTTGTCCGTGCCTCAGTTTCCTCAGGTGTAAGTCGTGGTTCCCACCTCCCAGTGGTGTGTGAGTGTTAAATGAGATGGCCCACGTGGCCAGACCTGTGTGTGGCAGTCTTGCAGGGGTGGACTTCTGCAGTCATCTCTGACCTTTCCGGCCCCGGAGGGCTGGCCAGGGGCGGGGTGGGAGCAGGGGATGGGGAAGGTGGTGGCTCTGCAGCAGCAGCAGGGTGTGTTACAGCGCCCGGATGCCACCCACCCGCCCTCGGCACCCAGGCCCAGCATAGCTGCCAGGGAGTGGTGCACGCCCAGCCTCTCGACACCAGAGCTGTTTCAGGCTTGGATTTGAGAAGAGCCAGGTGGCTCCTGATGGGCCTGGTCCAGGAGCAGCTCAGGCGGGAGCCATACCCTCACGAAGCTGGCCGGAAACCACCCCTCGCCGTCGGCGACTCGTCCCCACCACCACTCTCTGTTGGTGGCATCCATCACTTCGATGACGTCCCCAGCTTTGAAGCCCAGTTCCTGGTCATCCATGGTGACATGGTCCCAGAGCGCTTCAGCACAGACCGCACTGCCATCGCTGATAAGCTGAGGAGAGAGGCATAGGCGGGGGGGTCAGCGGGGTGGAGCTGCCTGGGCCTCCCTGCCCTCTGTCCCGACACCCTGCAGTCCTGGAGGAGGGCATCCTGACTCCCTTACGGAGGAGCCCATGGGGCTCGCTCCTGGCCAGCCACGCACCTGGAGTGGGCTGTGTCCTGCCATATCTGCACTGGCGGGCTCAGCTCCTGTGAACTCGCCACAGGAGCTGGCCCTGCCGCGGGACCCTGCTGGAGCCTGTCGGGCTCTGCTAAGGCAACATTCGAGGGGCTCAAAGGCTGCGGGAGGGGGAGGGGTGGCTCCTCTTGCGGGCTTCTTCCCCCACAGCCACAACGCCGTGTCATCCAGCTTCCGCACGCCTGGCCGCCACGGGAGCTGGGCTAGCTCGCTGCGGTGTCTTGACGCTTGCAGACCCAGTCCCACGGCAGCCCCGTGTGACCCCTCACGCCCCAGACACCCGCACTGGCTAAGCAGTGCCCTTCCTTGGAGTTCTCAGCCCCAAGCCCTAAGGTTCCAAGTTTTAATTATTCCAGCCTCTTCCCTTTATTCCCCAGGTCTAGGAGAAGTAGGACCGCCTTGCAGCGGCTCCCTCCGTGACAGGAATCTCAGGACTGCTCTCCCACACTGCGCCACCAGGTCACACACCGCACACCTAGCTGGTGACGCTTCACATTCCTTTCCCTTCGCTCAGGAACTGCGTGGCTCCTTTCTTCTGAGTGGTTGTGGGCTGCCGCACCGTGAGGCACGTGCTCTTGCCCTCCCAGGCAGCTCTCGCAAGTGGAGCCCCGTTTCCCGTTGGGCTGACCCCTGCTTTCCTGTAATGTGGGCTGTTTCTGCGTCACGAATGAGCAATGACTGCAGGGGCTTAGGGCAGGATAGGAGGGTTGGGCTGGGAGCTTCACAGAAGGCGAGGGCCATGCCCCTCCCTGCTGGGACCAGGTGCTGGCTCCAGCTGTCACAGCCATGGGCCTGGCTAAGTGGTCGAGGACGAACTGGAGCACCACCAGACAGGTCCTTCACAGTGACCCCTCCTCTGACCCGCCCCACCCCAGGTGAGCCCTCCCTTGGCTCCACTGTGCCTGGGCCTCCACCTGCGTTCCAGGCTGAGGCCTCTGTGCCTGCGTGGGCAGGGCAAGGGCTGCGGCTGGCCACTGCAGCACGCAAGCCCACTCGGGCTGGGCCCTTTCCTCCAGGGGAGGGTCTGAGCAGGCAAGTTCCGGGAAGGACGAACCACTGGCTCTTCCTCTTCCCTGGGGTGAAACCCGCTCCAAACCTGACAAAACCTCTCGGTCATCCACAAGCCCTCCGTGTGGAAGCTGCTCAGGGGCTGCAGACTTCTCGAGGCCCCGCAGGGCCCAGGCACAGAGCACTGGGTTACTCCGGAGGGGCAGCAGGCTTCCGCAGGGGACCGTCACACCCATTCCCAGCTACAACACCCTCTGAGGTGGGCCGGGGCTCCCGGATCACGACCTGCTGGCTGCCACACAAGGGACGAGAAGGACTCGCAAGACCACAGGAGAGATGAGCCAGCCTGCACGCGGGGAGCTGGCACCACCCCCCAAGGCAGCATCTGCTCGAGGCCTTGAAGGCTGTGGCTCGGGGGGAAGAAGGAAGCAGACAGGGCGCTGTGCGGAAGCCAGTGCCAGTGCGGGCTGCAGGAGAAGTGCTCCTGGCCTGGAGTCTGACCACAGGCCGTGAGGAAGTAACCCAGATGCTCAACGCAGCCCCGCTTCCCACCATTTCCCCTTCCAGGTGGTTCCCACCTGATATTAACCAGGTGAGGTGTCTTCCTCTGTCCCCAGATTCCCTCAAATGGGCCCTGAGCAGAGGCTTGGTGCCCCGCCTTCCTTTATGCTGCCAGTCCTTGCAGACAGGTGCGGACCCTACTCAGGTGGTTTTCTATACAGCTGCCGGGGAAGGTCTCCATGTGGGGCACGGGGAGAGGCAGGGCTTCAGAGAGAGACCAAGCCCCACACCTGGCCAGTCACCTGGAAGTCTTGGAGGCTGGGGAGAAGGTGTTAGTTGCCTTTGTCCCTTCCTTGTCCCTGCACCATGCCTGGTGTAGGAGGCACCACACAGACACATGGCCATGAGCAAGTGCTCTGATGTCCTTGTGCCTCCTCTCAATGTCACAATGTCTGCCCTATGGGTCACAAAGCTCCTGTGTAAACCCACAAACAGGAGGTACTCTCAGGAGTTAGCAGGGACGTTAACTATTTCTGTGTTGTCACCAAGTCAAAATGTGGCTCCAAGAGGTCAGAGACAAGATTCGTAGACCATCACAGACATGCACCACCTCCACATAGCCCAGCAGCCACCAGGTCCACGCTGGGCCGGTTCCCGGCAGAGGCCCTTCCCGGCTCCTGTCTTAGGTGCAGCGGCACCTGAGCGGAGTCTGCAGCCGGCAGGTCTGAGGCATGCGGAGCACAGGCTGCCTCTCTGCGAGAGCACAGGCTGGCTCTGAGGCACAGGGACAGTTATGTGGGGGCCCGGCAGGGGCTGTTCCCAGTGGAAGGGTAAGCTCAAGACCAAGACAAGCCAGGGGCAGGGAGCAGGATCCCTCCTGTGCCTCTGCGGTTTTGACAAGCCCCAGGGAGGGCGGCGCTCCCTGACAACTGCCGCCGCCCTCACGCTGGCCGGCCCCTCTCACACACGGGGGTCGGGGTTCGCAGGGCCCGCTGGCACAGGGCAGCAGGTCTCTGTCCCTAGAGAGACCGACACCACTTATTTTAAGTCCTAAATGGAAAAAGCAACTGTAGGTAAGGTGCGCAGGGGCGCCCAGGCACCTGTGGCAGACCTCGCTCAACCCACAGAGCTGCGTGCTCACTTTCGCTGTTTCCAGACAACTGGCGCGGCCACAGCTGTACCCGCATGCTCGGTTACACGGAGACGCGCCATTTTGGCCACCCCCTGCCCCCCTCACACACACACGCACACGCACAGGGCACAGAGGACAGACGAAAGAACCCTCTGGCACATGTGCCACCACGCCCCCAAGGCACCGGTTCGGCGGCACCCCCAGTGAGCACACGGGGTGGCAAGACGGTCTCCCCTCTGCGTCCGGAGCGAAGGCCGTGGGCGACAGCGGCTCCAGTGCCTACGCCCGCGCCACTCACCCCGGCGCGGTGCCCGGCGGCGCCCCGCGCGGCCGCTCAGCGGAAGGCCAGCAGGACTATCAGCACGACGTTGATGAGGACGAGGAGCACCAGCACGGCGGACACCACCACGCGCTGGGCGCCGGGCGGCAGGTTGCAGCGCAGCAGGGCGCGCAGGGCGCTCCCGGGCGCCGTGGGACCGCGCCGGGGCTGCGGGGCCCTGGCCATGGCGCGCGGCCTCCCGCTCGGTGCGGGCCGAGATCCCGCCGCGCACGGCCGGAGCCGGCGGCCCGCAGCCCCAGGGAGGGCGGAGCGCCTGCGCTCGCGGCCCGGCTCCCCCCGCACAGCGGCGCGGCGTGCTGCGTCCTCGGCCGGCGCCCTGGCAACGAGGCTGGCTGCGCGGGCGGGGACGGCGTGCGGGCGCGCGAAGGCGCCTCAGAAGGGCCGCGGCGGCCCGGCGTGCCCCGTGCTCCACCCTCCGCGCCTGCTGGGAGGGGTCGGGGACCCTTAAGGCCGGCCAAGTAGTGCTGGCCCTTGGGAGAGCCAGCTGCACAGAGCACCACGGGCGCGCTCGGGATGCCCTGGGACGTCAAAGGCAGACAAAGGCCAAAGCGCCTGCCGCCGGCGCCAGGGCCCGACTGCTGACAAGGGCTGCCCGCAGCGCCCGCTCCATGGATGAGTGAGTGCGGTTCTGCAGGTGACCCGTGCAGGCATACCGTCGTTCAGGAATGCAGGGACAGCGGAGGCCGGATTTGAACCCTGGTCGGACTGACTCACCCTGAGGGGCTCTTCTCGCTGACCCAGAGCAGCGTTTTTTTCCTTTGGAAAAGCAGCTGTTTCTGCTGCTTTTAAAAAAAACCCTATATCGGGTATCCAGGGCTTCCACTGCCCCCACCAGGCGGAGCATGCAGCCTTAACCCCGAGGGTTTCGAAGCTCTCACGCACGAGTCTTGCAGTCTGTCCACAGAAGTCAGTGTCGCTCAGAGATGAGACTGCAGCGGAGAGGGCTGAGCCCACCACACCGCTCAGGAATGGGCAGAGATCTCTGAGCAACAATCGCAGTGCTCTGACACTTGGGGCAGGAAGAGGCCCTGGAGGGAAGGAGGGGTGCGCAGAAGGGATGTGTGCAGAGGCTGGGTGTTCACACATGGGTGGCTCTGTTTGTGTATGCTCAGCTTCTGTGTACGCCGGCACGACACACACGCAAGCATAGGTGAGTACGTTCGTGAATGTCACCATCCTGCTGAGGACTCCAAAGCAGAGTGGCTGCCAGGTGTGTGTGCGTGTGCACGGGTGTGCGTGTGTGTACACACAGGGCCCTGTGTGTGCATGTAGGTGTCTGGCTACCTGTCTGTGTGTATATGCGTGTTCGGGTCCCTGTGTGCAGGCCTGGGTCAGGGAAGGGTCTAGACAAGCTGTACCTCCCTTGCAGCTGAAGGTTCAGCCTGGGCGCATCTATCCTGCCCAGTTCTTCAAAAGACCCTGGGCTAAAAGTTTGTTCCTTCAAGCTCTCGGGAGGATTGAGGGCAATCAGGAGGCATCTAAAGGCTCCCTGCACCCCCAAATCCCAGCACTCTCTGGTGAGACTGTGATGTGCCTTCTCGTGGGGTGTGGCTTGGAACCTGTGGCGGGTCCATGTTTCACTGTGCACCTATGGTTCCAGAGTGACTGGCCACCCAAGGCAGAAGGTGCAGAGGACTGTGTGGCCCCTGGGCACAGTAGGTCTGCAAGCTCGCTGGCCAGTGAGGCGCTGAGTGCCCTGGGGTCTACAGCACCCTGTTCAGGGGCAGCGCCAGCACTGGGGGGGTCTGGGTAAGTCCTTCAGCCCCCGCCCAGTTCCGAGCACAGCCTCTGTCCCCAGCAGAGCAGGGCAGCCTGGGGAGGCCTGAATATAGCAGAAGGACCTCTGACCTGGGCTGGGACCGAGGACTGGTGGCAGGGGGCTCCGCCCTGGCCGAGGGGGGTCCCCAGCCTAAATATCCCAGAGAGCTTGGCATGCAGCAGGGGTGACAGTGGCAACAGCTTTCTTGTGTGTGTTTCATGACCAAAAGTGTAACAAAAAAGCTCACAGGCAAAGGCCTAGGCCCTCGAGGGGTTCAAGCTGGAGGGGAGTGGCCCCCCAGGCTGGTGGCAGGACTGACATGGAAGCAGAGGGGAGATGTGGGCGTCAGGGGCAGATAAGGGCTGAGCCCCCAGTGCTGTGGCTTCGGGGTCACAGAGGGAAGAGGAAAGGGGGTGGCCACCAGGTAACCTTGCAGCCCTGGGGCACACGTGGCGGCGGTGGCTCTGGGAGACTTGGAGCTGCTCCTGCCCCGCCTCACAGAGCGTCTAAGCCCAAGTCGTCCAGCCTAGCGAGGGTGACACAAAGTGTGGGGGGCACCGCCAGGCGTCGGGCTGCTCCCTGGGCCTGGGTGGGGCTGAGGAACGGGAGCCAGGTCAGCGCCACAGGAGCTCAGGGAAGACGGAGACACCTGCAGCAAGACGGTCAGACTGACTCCTCCCTGAGGGGCAGCCAAGAACTGACCTGTGTCCTGCACTTCCGGGTGTCCCTCCCTCAAAGCGCTGGGAGGGGCTCAGGCAGCGAGACTGCCTTCCATCCCCGTGAGGCCCTGTGGCCGGCGGGCGGGCCCGTGTGCCCCACCTTGGTGATGGCCTAATTATGACGCCCTTTTATACTTGGAGCCCAGCTGGGATGACAGGCTCTGTGGCTGTCCACTCATGTCTGCCTGCCTTCTAGCTGGGCTTCATGTCGTCTCAGCAGGATGATCCGGAAGCCGCCTCTGGTCTCCCCTTGGCCGTACTGCAGCAGGGAGGCCACAGTAGCTCTGGCGCAGGTGCACGGGGGACCCCGACACCCAAGGCCCTTGGAGCCTCTCAGGGAGCTGAGAGGAAGCTCTGGCTGTGGCCTGGCCTGTAGGGGACAGGCTGCTGCCCACAGGAGTGAGTGGGCAGCGGGAGACCCCAGGCCTCCCCAGCAGACACCGTGCCATCTTCTCCCTGGTTGTACCATCCTGCGCAGCAGCGACATTGCCACCGCCCTGGGCAGGGCTGGGTGGTCACATGCTGCGGGCATTTCCAGCTCTAGCCTCACCTCTTCAGAGGTCATGGGGCTAAGGGAGGCCCCAGGCCTGACTGCAGGGAGGACGGCCAGCCCAGAAGGGCCAAGGGGCAAGGGAGGGCAAGGAACTGGGCAGACGGGCCCAGGCCTGGGCTGTGGCCTCTGGGGGAGACACTAAGGGGGCGAAGCCAAAAGAAGAGAGGGCACCTCTGGGCATAGAAGACAATCAGCGTCCGCATTCCTTAGTTCATCTGCAGGGCTGGGCAGTCCTGAGGCGCAAGGCACAGGGAGTGCGAGGAACGCAGCAAGAACAAGGCACGTGGAGAAACGCAGGCGCCCAACAGACACACGGGTGGAAGGGCCGCTCTCTGAAGGCAGGGCTACGTCCCCTGCCCAGCTGCATCCCACGGCCTGGCACACTGCCTGACACAGGTTAAGTACTCAGTACGTACGTGTTACATGCATGCAATGTACACCCACAAACAGCACACCCATGGCTTTGGCGTGCAGTGTGTACACACACACATGCAAGCATACAACTCACTCCCTGTGTATCCAGAACACAAACTGCCTCGCCGGCCTTCCCCGCGTCCACAGCTCTCCAGGCCAGATGGTTTGGGTTCCCTTCTGCTTGGAAAATTAAGAAGTGGTTTCCCCTCCTGAGTTCAACATGAACAGGAAAGTGTCACAATTTAGAACCCATGTATTCTTAGAAAATATAAGTGAATGTGTGAATTTAGAGCAAGCCAAGTATTATTTTTTAAGGACTTTTTTCTGACACCTGTTGCTTTGATCACCTGCAGGTAGGAAACTCACGATAACCCCCAGCAAAGCTTCTTGCTGAGCACGTGGGGCAGGAAGGCCAGGGAACTAGGCTGTCACCTGACAATCACCTCTTGTATCTTTTCAAAGAGTTTCTGATGAGGTGAGTCCTTTCAATACTTCCAGAGGATCGTAACAGGCAGGCACTACCTTTCCCGAGTGCCCAAGACAAGCCAGGCACAGCGAGGCCTCCCCAGCCCTGCTGTGGGCCGGGCCACGAGGAGGCACTGCCGTGCCGCAGCTGCTCCGCTGGACCCGGAGGAGTCCTCCAAACCCTGGCCTGCCTTCCCGCTGCCTCTTTCGGGGCAGCATTTCTCAGCCTTTCTATCCCAGGGTCTGAAAGCGCTGGCGGATGTTGTGAGGGTGACCAGTCGGGTGGATGCCTCCCCGGGCCAGCCCGCGCTCGCTAGAGAGGGGCTCCTCTGCCTGGCTTGCTGCTGTCCCTGTGATGTGGCGTGTCCTCCCTCCCGAGGGCACGGAAAGGGTCCAGGGAGGACGCTCCTGGAAAGCACAGAGTGCTGTAAACGTAGGCAGAGCAGCGTCCACTCAGTAACTCCAATGCCACGAAAGACCTCTGAACCAACAGGACACCATCCTCTCCGCAGCCCAAATGGGTGCCTTCACAATTCATGATCTAAATTGCCTGCATTTACCTCAGATAGGGGCCCCTCTGCCGAAGCGTATATGTTATTTGTTCTTCCGGCTTTCTCAGGCCAGAGCACCTTACAATGAACATCTTGTCCAGAAACCAAGGGCCCCAAAAAGCAGCTCCTCGCCAGCAGCAAGATGCGACACTCCCTGATTTCACTGCCAAGTAGGAGACATGCAACTGCACAGTGCAGAAACAGGAACTCTGACAATGCGGCATCTGAGGCCAGTCAAGAAACCCCTCCCCAGGGTCCCTGAGAGCTGTTATTTTCTTCTTCATCACCATCCTGGCCACTGGAGACTTCCCGAGAGCCCACCGGGCCAGGCCATGCACGTCCCGTTTCTGTCAGCCCTCATGCAGCCTCATGGCCGTGCTGTTTGACAGCCAATGGACCCGTGCTCAGTCAGCCACCCGCCCGTGGGCCACATCACCCACGTCTGACAGACCCCAGCCTGGGCCCCCTGCTGTGGCTGAGCCCAAGACGGAGGAGGCAGCCTGACTCTTCAAGGGAAGCACAAGGTGACATGGTATCAGAGCACCTTCTATCCAAAATAGCTCAGAGAGGCACTTAATGGCAAAGGTGTTATTTGTTGGAAAAACTAACTTATTTGCATATTTATTCTCTATGCATCATGGATTTTGAATAAAGCATTATTTAATGACTATTTTAAATCACTGTCTAGCGCCGAGCCTGTACGGAGAGTTTGTTGGCATTGCCGCTACTGCTCTGTGCGGCAGGGAACCAGGACACCGCATTCCATACCGGTTTCTGAGGAGCCCTCCAGCTCATCCTTCACAGAAAGGTTAAAGGCTAACTGTTTCCTCTTCCTGAGGAAACACCTGAGTGCTGCGTCCTGGGTTGTCAGATTCCTGAGGCAGAAACACAGCAGGACTTTGTGCCCAGGAGAACACGTGTTTGCCATGGACACGTGCTGCGCCCGACATCTGGAGAACTCCAGTCAGGCCCACAGCCGGATGGAGTGAGAGACAGCCAGGGAACAGGAGGACGAGGGAGGAGAAGAGCGGGAACGAACTGAAGCCTCCAAACCTCTCCCTCCTTGGAGAATGCAAAAGGAGAACGTGGGTGGGAACCCGTTTAGCGCAGATGAGGTTTCTCACCAAGTGCTTCTGCTTAGGTAGGAATAGCAAAACACGGCAACTCGCGTGCAGTTGTCATAGCTACAGCAACACTTCTGAACTCTTGGTGTCAACAGGAGGGACAACAGTTTCATTGGCCTTGTTCTCAGGCTGCTGGTTGGAGGGGCCCTGCCGGGAGGCCCTCAGGACCTGCTCACTAGGAGGGCCTGTTTGCCTCGGGCTGCTCTTCGTGGCTCTGTGGGCCTGGGAGGGCAAGGGGCAGCCCCGTGTTTGGACAAACACTGCTCTTGACGGCACATCCTAAAGTGAGAGCTGCAGGCTGAAACCTCGCCGTGTGCAGCCAGCAGCACTGTCACCTAACTGGAACACAGGCTGCAGGCATCTGTCCAGCCTGAGCATGCTGACGTTGCCTGGATGGCCAGGGCCACATCTGTCCGGCCCCAACACCCCCACCCCTGCCCATGCAACCCTGGTCCTACCTCGTTGATGGCCAGCTGCTCGCCGCCCCCTCCAGGGTGGCTGTAGTGGTGGCCGGAGCCGTGCAGGTCCTCATACAGGTCCTCCTCGCTCCCTGCCTCGTCAGCACGCATGGCCGCGTCCAGAGCTCCATCAGGCATGGCTGGAAGGAGAGACAGCAGCTGGCAAAGGGGGCAGCTCAAGAGGGAGGGGGTGTGCAGAGAAGCGGTTTCGGGACAAACACCCCCCCCTGGGAGCGGGGAATGCTGAGAGCCAGGCTTTCTAACCATCCTTGCGGCAAAACCGCGGCCTGGCTGCGAGAACCCACCAGCCGGCTCCCACCACCGCAGTCGTCCACAGCGCCAACCACCCAGGCAAGAAGCCCGAGAACTCGCCGCGGCACAGCCCTGCAGAGCCCGGCTCATTTACTGTGTGTCAGCTGTGCTACAAGGCCCTTAAGGAAAAAGTAAAAATTTTGTTACGAAATAGATGTGTGTGTGTATTCAGAGAAAATATACAGTATATACATGCAAATATAGTTTTGAATTCAATACAATGAACAGTCCTGGTACCTATCACCCTGTTTAAGAAAAACATCAACCCTCCCGTACCCCCACTCCAGCCCCACTCCCCTCTCACTCCTGCAGAGGCATCCAAGAGTCAGAACCTTTTGTATGTCATTCCCATGCGTGTCTTTGTCATAGCGTTGATTTCTGCCCAGTTACGCCTGGTTTTGACCTTCTGTAAATAACACATCCAGCAGCTATTCTTCTCTGACTGGCTCTTGTCAACTCAACTCTTGTGTAGCTGTGCTTGGTGTATTTTCACTGCCATGCAGCGTTGTGTTTAGGAATCTCTCAGACTCTGTGTATCTCCCATACTGCTGGAGCAGGGCGGTTGTTCCCCTGCTTGCTGCTGCTGCAAACAACGCCGCACAGACGCGTCTGCAGCTGCCAGGGTGTGCCTCTCGGCAGCGCTGCTCAGCTTCGTTTAGTGACTGCCCCCCTAAGGAGCCTTTTAGACATTGTCCTCCTACCTCCTGCCCCCCAAGAAATGTTAATGCCACAGACATACTACATACTGTTCATGTAGTGCACCTTTGGAGGGCCACAAAGCATTGTAGTAGTTAAGATCTTTGCCCTCGTGGCGGAATCATTGCCTCTGATATAAATTCACACTCTAGGGTATAGACACTTAGGTGTGACATCGGTGGGTCCTAGGTACACCAAACGGTTTCCCAAAGCAGTTCTACCAATTGAGACACCCACAGTGGTGTATAAATGTTCCCGTCACTCTGGATCCTAGCTAGCTCTTGGGACTGGCATTATCAGACGTGTTAACTGTCGAGAGGCTAATGAATATGAAATGGTGTCTCTGTGTGGCTTTAACTTACATGTCTGATTACTAATGAGTTGGGCAAGCTGAGCATCTTATCTATGTTTATGGGTCATTTATATTTCCTTTAATGTGAAATTTCTATGAGTTTTATCCATTTTTCTATTGAGTTGCCTATCTTTAACATATCATTGATGTAAAAAATACATGTATGTATATAGATACTTTCCCCTCCTCCACTCCAGGTGTGTCTGTTCATACGTGTTACAGCTATCTCCTCCCAGGTCGTGGCTTGTCTTGTCATTCTCTTTAAGGTGCCTTTTGATGAACAGAAGTTCTTAATTTTAATATAGAGAAATCTGTCAATCTAGTCCTATATATGTTATGTGCTTAGGAAAATCTTCCCCATCTCAAAGTCATAAAGATATTCTCCTATTTTTTTTTCTTTTAGGGCTGGTCAAGTGGAGCAGTGGGAGTGGAGAAGGAACAAAGGAATCTGTAACTGGCTGTGATCAATTCGTTGTAAACACCACTGCACTCGGACCAACCCGTCCTGTGTTATCCTTTAATATTTTATAGTTTTTCTTTTGACATGAAAGCTTTTAATCCACCCGGCAATGATTTTTGTGTATGGCATGAGGTTAGAATCCAAGTTAATTTTTTCCACAAAGAAAGCGAACGGTCTCAGCACCAGGTACGGAATAGGCCGTCCTTTCCCGCGTCTGCATTGTCTGCTCCGTCCGCAAGTCGGGTTTCCGGGACAGCCGGGGCTGCACCGGGACCCTACTCTTGCGGGAGGCAGACGGCGAAAGGGTCTAATGCCCAGGGCCTGTGAATATGTTATGTTACATGACGGAGAGGCGTTAAGGTTGCAGAATTAGGCTGCCAATTAGGCTGCCAATCAACTGACCTTGAGACAGGGATGTCACAGTGGACTCTGTGGGTGGGGCCGAGACGGGCGAAGCTGTTACCCCTCACAGCCCACCTCAGGCATTCCTCTTCTGGGAAGCCGCGGCCTGCGTCTGTCCCACTGTCAGGGTGCTTGAACACACGACTCTCGTGGCGCGACACGCACACCCTCCACACACCGCGCTGGCCTCTCGCGCCAGCTGGACTCGAGCGCCCTGCAGGCAGGAGCCGCGCCTTCTTCGCTGACGGCGACGCTTGCTAAGTGCTGGACACATGAAGGAGTGAAGCGGCGGACGGAGGATTGCGGCTGAGTGGTGACCAACCAGATGAATGAACAAACAGGAGAGGAGCGAGCGGAGCCGGAGCCTGCAGGACGAGCAGGCGGCGAACGGCGAGTCCCCAGAGCGCGCGTCCCTAGAGCCAGCCCGGGCATCCGCGTCTCCCGCGGGCAGCGGGCCCGAGCCCAGCGCGCTAGTGGGAGCCAAGGCCCGGCTTCTGACCGTGCGCATAGCCAAGAGTCCCAAGGAACCCTCATAATTTTTTATTTCATTTGTGTTTTAAAACTGTTTTATTATGGAAAGTTTCAAACATGCACAAAGGGAGAGATATAATAAATAAACCTCATATAGCCATTGTCCAGCTTGAAAAATTCTCAACATGTAGCCAGTTGGTTTCATCATCTAATTCACCTCCCCAATGGATGGTTTTTAAAATAAAACCAAGGCATGTTATATGTAAATACCACAGCATGTGTTTCTAAGAAATAAGGGCCCCATTTGTCTTTTTGAAAAACATGACCACGATACACATCTAAAACAAACTGCAATCCATCAAAGGTCGTCAGAGTGACATGCCTTCTTCTCTAGGGCTCTAAAAAACCTTTTTATTTTGAAATAATTATAGTGTTACAGGGTGTTACAACCTTAGTACAGGTCCTGTGGTATCCTTCACCCACTTTCCCCAGATGGCCTATCTCGAGTAAGTGTGGTGCGATATCACAGCCAGGAACCTGACGTTGGTGCGATGTGTGTGTAGTTCTATGTCATTTTACCACCCGTACAGATTTGTGTAACCACCAATGCAAACTGTATGTAAGCTTTAAGGTTCCCCTTTTCGCTCAGCCAAATGCCCCAGATCCATCCAAGTTGTTGTGTTAATACGTCACTCCTTTTTATTGCTGAGTAGTATTCCCCGGCATGCAAATAAATACCACAGTTCGTTTCGCCATTCACTTGTTTGAGGGTGTGTGAGTTGGTTCCGAGTACTGGATGCTGTGAACATCCATGAGCAAGGTTTCGTGTGAACGCAAGTCCCACTTCTCTGGGATGGATGCCCAGGAGTGCAACTGCATGGGAATCGAATATTTGGTTTTTAAGAAACTGCCAAACTAGTTTTCAGAGTGGGTGGATCATTTTATATCCCCACCAGCAATTGTATGAGAGACCCAGTGTCTCTGAATCCTCACCAGCATTTGGTATTGTCACTGCTTCATATTTTAGACATTCTGATAGGTGCGCCGTTATAGCTTCTCATGGTCCCAATTTGCGTTTCCCAAAAGGCTGGTGAGGCCGAACATCTTTTCATGCGCTTCTTTGCCATCTATCCTCTTTGGTGAAATATCACTTCACGTCCTTTGCCTATTTTCTAATTGGATTTTCTGTTGTTTTAATGTTGAGATTTAAGAGTTCTTTATATATTATAGATGTGAGTTCTTTGTTAAATATGTGGTTTACAAGCATTTTCTCCCCGTCTGTGGCTTATCTTTTCATTCCCTTATCAAGCGTTTTCATGAGGCAAACATTTTAAATTTTCATGATGTTAAATTTATCAATGGTTCCTTTAATGATTCATGCCTTTGGTGTCATGGCTAAGAGCTCCTCACCAAACCCTGGTTCCCAAACATTTTCTGTTATGCTTTCTTCCATTTTTCTCTTTTTCAATTGCACTGCATCTTCCCACAATGGTGCAGCAAACCAGTTCTGCAAACAGCATGGTGACTGCCAAGGAAACTGTCACGCTGGCCCCTTTGGACCACAGCGGCTGTGTGGAAGCAGCTGCTGCTTCAGTGAGGGCCACTCTCATGTTTTCTTCTAAAAGTTTGCAGTTTTACATTGAAATCTATAATCCATTTGAGTTGGTTTTTTTTTTCTTTTGGTATAATATGTGAGGTTTAGGTTAAAGTTCATTTTCATTGCCTATGGATGGTCTAATTTTTCCAGCACCATTTGTGAAAAGACTATCTTTCCTCCCCTGAACTGCTTTTGTACCTTTGTAAAATTCAGTTGGCAAAGTCAGGACTTTACCATCTATTTTACAGAACGAAAATGGTTATCAGAGAATACTAGGAACTGTTGTGCACCAACACATTAAAGTAGAAGAAATGGAAAATTTCTAGAATCACACATCTACCAAAACTGACTCAAAAAGAAACAGGAAATCTGAATAGACTTATAATTGGTAAGGAGATTGAATAAGTAACCAAAAACATCCCAATAAAGAAAAGCCCAGGGCTGGATGGCTTCTACCATTTACAAAATAATTAACACCAATTCTTCTCAAACTCTTCCAAAAAATTGAAGAGGAGAGAATACTTCCTAACTCATTCTGTAAGGCCAGTATTACCCTGATAATAAACCAGACAAAGAAACTACAAGAAAAGAAAACTCAGGCCAATGTCCCTTATGAATATAGATGCAAAACTCTTCAACAAAATACTACCAAATCAAATTCAATAGGGCCCCACGGCGTGGGGGCAGCTGCAGCGTGTGTGAGAAGAAGATGAATCTGCAAAGAAGATCCAGGACGAGTGTCCAGGAAGGGAGAAAACCAGAGGAAAAGATGCTGGAACCACAGAACGGCATGATCGACTCCGCAGACTGTGCGCACAGAGGAGAAGAAACTGTCTTCCTTTCCCACCTC